TTTTTTTTTGTTTTCAATGAAAATATTTTTGTTTTTTATTTCATTTATTTTATTTCTAGAGATCAAATACAGAATGGAATCGTTTTGATCAATTAGAAAAATCATATAATAAAACACAAAAACGTATTGCACCATCTCTTATTGCCTAAGATTTTCTTGCTTTAAATGTTTATATACTTTTTTTTTTGTTTTAAATAAAGAATATTTTAATTGAAGTAATGGTGGTGCAAAAAAAATGAATGAAAAGATTGAAAAATTCTTTTTTTCTCCCTTATAACAAATCCAAAAACTTTCAAAGTTTGACACTTAAATTCTTACAACTAGATAAATCATATTCTTAAGAAGTTTTTTTTTTACTATGTCTTGAAAATAGAAAAACAAAATACATATGCATAAATGATGTAGACAATAAACAATGTTTATTGCTAATACACTCCAGTACTGCCAACAGTAGGCATCTATGGGGTCTCAAATTTTCGGATCCGGACTCAGTCGCGCCCAGAATTAATTTGAAAGACTCTAGCCAACAGGTCACTTGATGTTTCTCATTTTTTGAATAGATTTAATTCTATAAGTCTGCGTTAAGGGGATCCAACCTCTTTCTACGTTTCTGAGGAATGACTCACACTTTAAAAGTAGATAAATCTCGATGAGTAGAGCAAAAGTTATCATAGACTCCAAATAATTCCTTGTAGAATATATAGCTGTCACAATGGGTAAAAATCGCCTCGCTTCCTTAGCCGTAATACATCCGATAGAACTGGCAGTTGTTTTTTATAGATACTAAACACTGTTTAAAGTGGTTACCTTTTTATCTTCTTCCTTTCCAATGAAAATATTGCACGTACCTCCAAAAATATTTTTTTTTTCACCTAAGCTTTTTTCTGTAAAATCTATCAAAAATCGACGATGCTATATTTTTCAAAAAAAAAATGTGCGCATCCCAAACAGTGTTCAGTACCTGTAAAAAAAATAATTTCAGCTCAATCGAACGTACTATATCGGAGAAATGGGAGTGATTCTTCACTTTTTCTTTTTGTAAAAACCAGTTTCAAGAAAAATGAAAAACACAATTTTCTGTATGTATTAAGGACTTTTTTCTCCAACTAAAATGATTGAAAACTATTCGTGTTAGAGGTTCATAATCCATGCACTCTGCATCATTAAAAATTATTAAAATAATTTTACATAAAGAGGTATGTTCAGATGTCCGAAAAAAGAAGTTTCCGAAAATAGCAAAATTTCTCCGATATCAATTAAAGACATATATCTGCATAATTACATTAGAAAGAAATTTCCGAATTTTTACATAACTTTCAAGAAAATTTTCTAGAAACTTCCGTAATTCCTCATACTATAGATGGCAAATGACAAGATAATGTCCGCAAATACCAACTCTCGAAAAAGAAAATCTATCAGTAATTACGGAAAAAACCGACACAGACGAAATTACAAGCAATTCCCGAAATTAACTAGTTCTCATGAAGAAATTTCTGTAATTACTGATAAATTTCCTTTTTGGAGAATTGGTATTTGCGGAAATTATCTTGTAATTTGCCTTCTATGGCATGAATAATTACCAAAATTCGCAGAAAATTTTTTTCTTATGTGAAGGTAATTTCCGAAATTTCCTGATAATTTCTTTGTTTTGGTTATAGTTGGTTTCGAATAGTGTAGTGGTAGTTACGTTTTATTCTGAAACTTGCATTTTCTGTAGCTGTAATTTCCAAAATATACAGATTTAAGAAGGAAATTTCCTTTTTCGGAAATCTGTCCACTGCTGAAATAATATCATATTTTATATCTTTACAGTCTCTTATTAGGACATGATAAAAAAAAAATCTAAACTTCTTTACAGTATGACCTATATATCTCCATTATTAGTAGGACTAAAAATATAAAAATTAAGTAGTTGCAAAAATTTAGATGGCAAATTTTGAGTGTATTTGGATTTTTAATAACAGAGAAAACGCCATTTGTTTTTTTTTGTGAAGATTCAAAACTTCTGCGTCATTCTTTAGTTGTCGGTTTTTTTCGTTCTGTATAGAGGAAAGAAAAGAATAAAAAAAAAATATATTGCGACCACCTCTGGTGGGGATCGAACCCACGATCTTTGGATTAGAAGTCCAACGCGTTAATCCGCTTCGCCACAGAGGCTTCGTCAAATGTTTCAATCAATGTAAATCTGAAAGTAAAATATATCAATAAGTTATCTTGAAAGAACCACTTAATGTTTCATAGTAAACTACTTCTTATGATTGAAGAATTGAATATTGTTTGATATTTCTTTAGTAATAGTAAGTTTGTCGGAAAAAAAATATCAAAACTTCAACAAGACTATCATTCTGAAGAATTGAAAAATAATCTTTGTTTTTTTTTGAACTCTGTTGAATGTTTGATTTTGTATTACATAAGAAAAAAAAGAAGCTTTTTGCAGATTTCAACGAATTGTTTAAATTAATGAATATCTATTAAATTCATTCATCATTTTCAATAGTAGTATTTTCATATTGTTGATAATCTTTTATTAAATCTTTTATTCGATTTTCTCCTTCAATTAATTCTTTAACAACAACAAAAAAAAAGATTAAATCAAAAAAAAACAAAAACAAAAAGAAAAACAAACCAATTTCTTCCATTCCTTCACCAATAAACCAATGAATAAATGCACGACGTTGAAATAATTTTGTAAATGGTTGTAAAATATAATCAAATTGTTTTATTATTCCTGTATTATTTGCAATACCAGTTACTGAACGTAATAAACCTTTTGGTGGTATATCACAATGTGCTATTTTACACTAGATTAAATATAAATAAAAAATTTTTTAATAGATATTTTTCTTCTATATACAAACATTATTTGGTATCCATTGAACAAAATGTTGATGATTTTTTTCTTTTGATATAAGATCATGAAGAAGTTTTAATGATAATGATCTACCACGAAATATACCTGTAGCTGTTAAATATTTTCCGTGTTGTGAATCAAATGTTAACATTTGATTATTTATATTAAACATTTGTTTAATAAGCATATGTTCATTTATATTTTGATATCGAACTGTTTGACGTGCATGTAATGGTGAAAATGACGTCATTAAAAAATGAAGCGTTGGAAATGGTATCATATTAACAGCTAATTTACGTAAATCCATATTTAATTGTCCTGAATAAAAAAAAAACAATATTTCGAAGTTTTTAAGGACACTCTTCCCCTCTCCTTTCTCTCAGCAGAGCTAGAACACTAGCATCCCTCTTGTTTTGAGGAAGCAGTGGCAGGTTGCGCCCTCATTACGTGCGTCGCATTATCAAAAATGCACGATGATGATTAAGTATCGGTGCTCTCCACTATCCTTCTCAGAACAAGAGACGAACTAATGTCCATTAACTACTTCACTGATGATTTGTAACGCAGCGAGGACACCATTGGTCCCCTAAAACAAGAGTGCGTGGGTGTGGTCGTGGGTGTGGTTGTGAGTGAAGAGAACACACCCACATCTATACCCTTACTATACTTTACCCATTGACTGATACTGTCATCGTCGTTTTCATAATCGACTGCTTACACACGCTAGTAATTTCAAACATCAGAACTATCGTAAAAACCTATATTTTGGATATTTTTATTTTCTATGTTTTTTTGTTTTTGAGACTTTAATATTTCGACATTAGTAAGGTAAATCCAGAAACGCTCTCGTTTCTGTTCTAGTACGTCCGATCGAGATGAAACTTTTTTCACATATATTATACACTGTTTGAGGTGAATATAAAAATATCGTTTTATTGATTTTTGGTAGTTCTATTGGCAATAAATAAAAAACATACGCTTTTTTAGGTACCTTCAATATGTAGATTTTTTTATTCAAAGGATACAAAATAAGCATACCCATTTCAAATAGTGTCTAATGCCCGTAAAAAAGAAATTTTCTGCTCGATCGAGTGTAGTATCTTGAAGAAACGAAAAGACCATTGCGATCCCAATATTGACCTCGAGAAGAAGTTACCTTTAAATTACATCTTACCTGGAAATCGAAAGCAAGCAGTAATACCAATCATAACTTGTGCTAATATTTGATTTATATCTGTAAAATTTCCTGATGAAAGTCGAAGTGTTTTATTTAATATATCAAATAAAGTAATATTATCAAAACAAAATGTTTCATCAGTATTTTCAATTAAATCTAAATAAAATTTTTTATCATTTGATTTCATTTTATTGTTTTTTTTTCTTCTTCTTCTTACGATTCATTGTTAATACAGCATTATATGGTTCAACCTAAAAAAAAACAAAATTAACTTTTTGAAAATTATGAAAAAACTCCTAACCACAGATGTTCCAAGGGTTCACTCTACTTTGGTCAAAAACGAAAATGAGGGATCAAAATGTGCATGTAGGAGTGAGAATGAGGGTAAAAGAACTTCTCTTTTCATACATTATCATTTTCAGCATTTGTATTTTTCAACATTTGTATTTTTCAATATTTCTATCTTGCAACATTTTTATCTTTCAACATTTTTATCTTTCGGCAGAAGTAGGGTGTGTCGTCCTGGGGTCATACCAACCCCGCACAGTATGCATCTAGGCTGAAATTTGACTAAAAATGAAAATCACACTTTTTCAAGATTTAAACATAAATAAACATATTTTGGAATATAGTCTATCTAATGGTATCAAGAATTTTATTACAACTCACAAAGAAAGTGAAAATCAGTTGCCCAAAAATTAGCCTGAAAATCGCTATCTGACAAAATTAAACTTTTCGACAGATAAATCAAGTAGATTTTCTGAATCTCAAAGTCGAGCTCTATACAATGGTAAAAAATATCTATTAATATGCACGTTTAATTTCTAAGTGTCAAGAAACAATTATTTTTCTACCGTATCGTTCGAACGGTTAGTTCTGTAGAATGAGCAATTCAGCTTTCGAAACTTATCGAAATGTTCTTCTATCTACTGTCTCTCACTTCTGTTAGCGTAAACATTTCTGAACTGTACTAGTGGTTTCCAAAAAACCTGGATTTTTCAGTTTTTTTTTTTGCCTTGAAAAAATATTTAATCGATAAATTTTCCAAAAAAGAACGTTCTGTTTTTCTTTAAAATGCTTTTCTATGCAAAGAAATCCATTTCCGAACAAGAAAGTCGTATATTCGTTTGCCATGTGAAAAATGCACACTGTACTCCCGTTCGACACATCTCTGTTTTCAACATACAACAATTTGTGACATTGATAATGCAGGAAATATTGAATAAGATTTAATAATTCGATCAGAATATTCTTGTCGAATGTTATCAATTAATAATGAACCTAACCCACCACCAGCACCACCACTAATACTATGTAAAAATTGAAAACCATGTACTAAATCACATTCTTCAGCTATTTTACGAATAATATTCATTAACTCTGATAAAATTTCAGCTCCTAGAAAAAAATCTTTATTACGAATTTAATAATAATTAAACTATATAACCTTCAGTATGATATCCTTTAGCAAAATTATTACTAGCACTCATTTTTCCATTGATTAAAAATTCAGGATTAAATAAATTTTTATTATTTGAATTATGAATTTTATTTATTGAATTTTGATCAAGATCAATAAAAATAGATCGTGGTACATAACGTTGATTTTTTACTTCCGTAAAATAAACATTAATACGTTCAAGCTGTAAATCACTTTCACCATGAAAATTTCCACAACAATCAATTCCATGTTCATCACAAGCTAATTCCCAAAACTAACTCTCACGTGTTTTTTTTTCGTTTTATTATTTACAAAAAAAAAATATTTTTTTCTGATTTTCTCACTTTTTCACCGATAGAATTTCCAGCTTGTCCAACTTGGATTGTTATTATTTCACGCATTTATTTAATAAAAAAAATCAATTATAAATAAATAAATAATATAATGATTTATTACTATAGAAACAATTTTGTATTTTTCTTAGTATTCTGAATAGATAAATATTTATCATATCGTTTGTTCTTGTTCTCTTGAAACTTTACTTTAAACTCTGAGATAGTAATATAATAATCTATGAGAGGTAGAAAAAACGAAGACAGAGGGGATGGATGGTAGTAGAGGTAAAAACTGACGATAAACAACAAAGTAAAAAAAAAAGAAAGAGAGAGAAATACAGAACGAAACGAAAGACGAATAAGATTGCTTCATACATATTGAGAACAGGTCACATCTGGTGTCAAACTATCAAGAACACACCATTATTATCACTGCGTCATTGTGTTTGTTTTTTGAGTCGAGAAAAAAGTTTTCTTCTCAATAAATACATGTATCACACGATGGTCTTTCTTTCAAATAAAACATTATATATCTATGAGTAACAAAGTATGTCACCAAAAAACGAAAACAAAATGAATACGTCACAAATATCGACATCTTCATCATCACTTATGACAGATGATCATTGTCGGCGTAACAGTATGAATGAGGTAATTAATTTTTTAATTTTCTTATATTAAAATAAAGAAAATCAGATAATACGGCGGATATATTTACCAGCTGATAATTACATAACAATAGATGAATCATACTTACGCATATATATGGATGGATAATAAAATGGCGTCGCTCTATTTCTATTTTAGGTCCCATCAACATATCCATCAAAACTTCGTTATCGTCAATTAGAACAAGAAAATCGCGTACCAAATGTTGCTATCTTCTGCATATCAGTAAAAATAATATTTTTTTCTAAATTAATTTTGAAAAAAAAAATAATGATCAATATTTATTTTAGTTGAACAATGATGATCTATGTCAAACACGAAAAAAATTTTCAGTTGACACTCAATTATTATCTTATTCATTTCTAATACGTTTAATAAATCGTATATTTAATTTACATTCAAATTTTACATTAATTGCAAAAGAATTATCATCATTGAAATGTAATTTTCTAGTTACAGATGATTTTGATGTTGATGGTTGTATAATGAATATGTTAGATGAAAATGATGAGGAAAATAAACATCAATCATTAGTTGAATTTATTGTTTATCAATATCCAAGAACAAAAAATCAAATACAATCAAATCCTGATGGTTGGTGTTTAGTTGAAGATAATTATACAAATTTAAATAATAAAGATGATAATTTTGAATTAATTGAAATACAAAATAATTCAATTTTAGTAACAATTAAACCAAAAACTAATCGACAAGAAACATTTTTACAAAAAGCAACTAGTACATAAAAAACAAGAAAAAAAACCAACCTAAAAAAATTTCATTATTTTTTATTTATTTAGGTTGGTTATATGGTTCAGTTCATTCATCACCAAATAATTGTTTAACAAAAAAAGAATTTTTACAAATGTTAGATCCATTAACAGGTCGTTTATTAGATGAACAAGCATTTCGACAACGTATATTTGATAATGGCTGTGATGACTGCATTAAAAAAATTGTTTGGTGTTACTTATTACGTGTATTTAATGAGTCAATGACAAACGATGATAAAAATGAATATGTAATAAAAGCAAAGGAACGATATAATGAGTAAAAGATTTAACGAACAAAAAAAACAAAGAAAGTTTTATCTTTTTAATAAATTTATTGTTTAGAATGAAAACAGCTTGGCAAAATCGTTATAAACAACAAGATTCTGAAATAATTGACCTTGAAAATTTAATACAAAAAGATGTGCAACGTACAGATCGTTCAGTTAAATTTTTTGATGATAAAGAAAATTTAATTAGACAAAAATTATTTCATATACTTATGACTTATAGTGTTTATCATCCTGAACCTGGTTATGCACAAGGTAATTTTATTTAATAATAATAATAATAATAATTTAATATATGTATAAAATTTTTCTTGTATTATTTAGGTATGAATGATATGATAGCACCTATTTTATATGTTGTACGTGATGAATCATTAGCTTATGCATGTTTTTGTGCATTAATGCGTCATATGAGTTCACTATTTCATCCAAATGGTGTTGCAATGAATCGTCGATTAGATTTATTAAGAAAAACAATTCGAGCTATTGATATAGATTTATGGACTAAAATTGAAAAGTGTGATGTTGGTTTGTAATTTTTAAATTAATTGATATTTCTCTCTCTCTATGCATATATAATTTTTCTTTTAGGTAATCTAATGTTTGCTTATCGTTGGTTATTATTAGATTGTAAACGTGAATTTCCATTCAAAGATATGTTTCGTGTTTTGGAAACTTTATGGGCATCATTACCAATCGATAGATTTGAATCAAGTAATGGTAATACATTGTCGGATAGCGATGATCTTTGTCCATCATCATTATGTAATCAACCTCGTTCATCAACACTTTCTTCAATATCAAATATAATATTATCATCACGTTCGTGTTCACTAACACATGAAGAAACTCAATCTCAACATTCAAGTCTTGATGGTGGAGATTCTGGTTATCGTGATGAACAAATTCCAGGTATATGTGATTTTAATTTACGTTCACAAAAATCAGAAAATTCAACTTGTTTAACATTTCGAGCTCATACATCTACAATATCATGTATACCATTAGGAAAATGGTTAACACATTTTACATCTATTGATAATGATGAAAATTATTCGGATATGTTTACAATATTTTTATGTGTTGCTTTACTTGAACAAAATCGTTCATCAATTATGCAAATGTCACCATTAAATAAAGATGATGATGATTTTATTGGTGCATATTTTACACGTCTTGTAAGACAACATGATGCACGACATACATTACAATTAGCACGGAATTATTATCGACAGTATGTTCTATTTCAAATGCGTGTTAAACAATTATTATTGACGAATAATTAATTTTTCCTTTTTGTTTTTTGTTTTTTGCTTTTTGATATGTTTTATAATCACTTATATCTCTAGTCTTTCATGTACTCATATATTTATGTATATGTCATTGTATGGTTAGTGATAGTGCTCATCCATAATGGATCTTCTAACATTCATTCGGTGAAATTTTTCGGTTTTTCATTTCCTGTTGAGCATTATTATTATTTGTTTCATATGTTTGCTTTTTAGAAAAGGTTCTCACTCTTTTTTTCTTTCTCTTTTGACTATTTATTAACTGTAGAAAAACACAAGACTTTTTTCTTCTTGTATTTAATAATGTAGAAACAGACATAAAATGGCTTGTACTAGATGTATTCGGGTTCTTTGTTCTTAAATGTCAGACATGTAACTGATAACAAAAAAAAAAGAAAAAAAGTTTTAATAACATTGTACTAGAAAA